AAATATCTGTTGCCTCAGCTCTCTCTTACCAGCAAATGAGCTATAAACCATTCCTCTTACCAGCAAATGAGCTATAAGCTGAAAGTGCTGACAGCAGCTAGAAGATATAATCTTGGTTTAGATAGAATTTAATACACCTGCCTTCAAGAATGCAAATCCTACACAATTAGAGTTACAGTTTCTATAACCATGATTTCGCATCTCAATATGATTTAAAGATTCTTTCAAATAGCAGCAAGAAACACCAAAGTTACCTTCAGCAAAATTCTCAACTTAACATTTATTCTTTTTTCCACCTGTATATCACCTCATAAAAAAAGGATGTCTTACTTGGTAGTCATTTCCTGAGTTGGCTGATTTTGAAGCAGTAACTGTTTTGTGAAACAGTAAAAGCCTAGAAACAAGCTACGTAATATTCAAGGAGACTAATCTGAATTGCCCCCATCCTGTTTGTGAACTTTATCCAAGTAATAGCAAAATTATAAAGATGCAGTTTGATTACTGAAGGTGATAAGCAAATTAATCAATAGCAATTCATCCATGATAGCTATGCCAATAGATGCACAATCATTTTGTGAGCATATTAAACCAAAATACTAAACCCACTGCTATTCAGATTCCTGGCAAGCCTGTAGGAGAGAGGAGAACCACTCGTAAAGGGTTTTCAACACAGATTGGAACTTTACGGGAAAGTCAGCCTTATTTTTCTTCAGGGGAGCAGCTTTGGATCACTGGCCCTATGGTTCACAGCGCAATGTTCAACCCACTGTGCCGCCTAGGCTCCTTGAGCAAAAAATATGTTACAGATTGGCACCTTTCTGATGTGCCAGTAAAATAAAACTAAAATTCACTCATAACCATGACCTAAAATATTAAGGATAACAGAAATAAAATGACCAAGAAATTGAGAAATCCAAATGAAAATAAAAAATTTTTAAACCTGATTTTAGCTTAAGTGAATTATAAATATGTTCAGTATTACAAGTTAAAAACAAATGCTATTAAAAGCATTTGCCACCTATTTCAATTTCGGTTCTCTCTAGATCAATTAAATGGCAAATATTGGCTCAGCTTCATTATCAGATCTGTTCTATAAACCTAATTCAACACTTACAAAATGAATTATTTAATCTTACTTTGAAATTCAATTCTCCTGGTAAATGATCTAATGGCTTTCTTTGGTCTTCACTTTCCATTTATTAGGAGTAAGCACGAACTACCAAGCATATAGCTAGCTTTGTGGCTAGCTGAAGCTATTCTTTGCTTATATTTTAATTTTTAAAATAAACTATTATAAAACTGCAGCTCTGACTCGGTGTAGATGTGTAAATGTGTAATGACTGCACCATGGGTATGCAATTTTTAATAGGTACTATCAAATTGTTCTCCAAGTGGCTAAAGCAGTATTTTCACCAGCAGTTAAGAATTCATATTTCCCACACCCTTTCTATTACGTGACTCAACATTTGCCAATCTGATAGGGGGAAATGATCTCACTGGTCTTTTAATACTGTACTTTCGCTGAGTTCTGTATGAACTACCTATTTTCTAAAGAGCATACATGTGCTAGTACTTTTCTATCAGAATTCCTTCTAAGAAACAAACTTTAAATTAAAATAAAAAGTAATTCAATAATCCCTCTACCTTGGACCCTTCTCTAATAAATATTATTTTACCTTCCTGGGTTTTACATAAATTAAGCTAGATATGTTTTAGTCTGATATAAATAGCCATGCTAAGCAAATACTGACATACAGGTTAATCAAGGTTCTTCAATACCACAACATAGATTGCGACGTTGATATAACTAATGCTCATTCCAGTCTGTGTCGGTTCTGTGGAAGTAGAGTGATATACTGAAATTAAAATTCTAAAATTAATTGGACAAAGGTAAACAAAATATACTGAAAATAGAGAAAAGAATGAATATGTATAGAGGTACAGATGTTAAATTTGAAGTTATCAGCTATAAGGAGTTAAATATAGGGAGAGGTGGATAAAAGGTAAAGTTATTACGTGCGCAAAGATAAGAATCCAAGCTAGGACAAGGAATATGTTGCTGAGAAAGCAGCCAAGTGGAAAAAAGGCAGAGGACCCAATCTCAGGGTACACCCGTGAGGAAACCCAAGAAGAGCCAAGAGAGAACAATTAAATAATGAAGGCAGCCAGGTCAAGTGGTTTTTAAGATGGGATAATGGTTGTAAAGTTAACCAAGCACTGCAGGGAAAATGGGAGCACAGATCTCTACTGTAAGGTAAAAGCATAGTACAATTCCAGTCTAAACCAGGACTGTAACTCAGATTGAAGAGGATGATTGATGTTGCATTCTAACATAAGCAATTTGTTTATAGCCTATCTCCTTCAGTATGTAATACAATAAAATAAAAAGCCCAAACCAAGGAAAGAAGAGAAAGCAAACGGACCGGCCAAATGAACTAATAATTGCTGGGGCTAAGCAGTAAATTCACTATGCTTACTGGTATAAACTGGGAAAAAAGGTAAACTGAGCTAACCAGTTTCATATAAAAAGTACAAAACTTTCCCCAGAAATAAAAAACAAGTAGTTTCTCATGAGTGAGACTAAAAATGAACAAGCTTCACAGAAAATGAAGACAATTTTATTCTCATTTATTGAATAACAAGGCACCTTGGTGGTGTAGTGGCTACATGAGGGGCTTCGGTCTGCATGGTCGGAAGTATGAAACCAGGCAGCTCTGCGGGAGACTGGCTTTCTACTCCTGTAAAACAACTACAGCCTCGGAAACCCACAAGGGGGTCACACTAAGTCAGTCAGTACTGACTCGATAGCAGTGAGTTGGTTTGGTTTATTTAACAAACACATGTAGCACTTACTATGTCCCAAATATTGTTCTAAGCTGCTCACAAAAAGTTAACTCATTTTAATTTTCATGTGGCTATGTCTTTTCAAAATCTCTCTAACATCTGGCAGAGAAATGGGTGCTGGCATTCCAGGTGGCTTGCTGATTAAGGGATGACCTCTGCGTTGGAAGCTGAGCTTTAGAAGGATAACAGGATCAAATGAAAGCTTACCTCACAGAATAAGAGAAATGATCACCACACAAAGGCAACATGGAAGGGCCCAAGGAGGAAAGCTACATTTGGCTGTCAGATCTTTTAGAAGATAAAAAAAATTAACTTTCACAAGGTTAAAATGCTTTTTTCACAAGGTTTATTTGCTAAAGTGGAGACAGATGAGGTTCATTCTCAACCCAAATCCTTATTTGCCGGCTCGCGGGGTCAATATTGCTCCTAAACCTGTCCACCTGTTAGTCCAAACTCTGGCATCAAAAATCTTCCTTCTTCCCAGTGAGGTAAACAAGCCCATCTTGCTTGCCATTCAAACTCCCAAAGCTCCTGAGCAAAACTGTTTGAGGACTTCCCTCCCTAAGGCTGCTTTTCTTTGTGTGTCAGGGTGGAGGGTAGGGGGTGTGGGGGGGATGGGGTGTGTGTCAGGTGGGAGGCTGTTTTTAATGCTGGGCTGCCAATTTGGAACTTATTGCTAGGAAACAAATTTTTCTAAAGTGGGCAAAAAATCCAGAAGCTTCTGGGAAACACATAAATCACAACTTCCTATCAGCAAGAGGAACAGATCCAAAGACACAATGTCAATGGAAAGCAGTTCTCATCCCATAACCTGTAAGGTGGTGCATGCTTATAACTTGGGCTGCTAAAGGCAAGGTGAGTGAGCAGTTCAAAATCACCAGTTGTTCCTAAGAAGAAAGATGAAACTTTCTACTCGCATGAAGAGTTATAGTCTGAGAAAGCCACAGGGGCAGTTCTACTCTGTCATTTAGGGTCGACATGAGTTGGAATCAACTCAATGGCAGATAAGTTTGGATTTCTGGATCCTGCAAGGCTCGTTTTCAAATGGGACTAATTGCCATGTTGCAAGGCCAGGTCTCTCTGGGCACCATGTAGGAATTTAAATGCTTTTTACATGTTTGATGAGCCAGATTATGTTAAAGTAAGAGTCTGGAGTAAGATTAAGTATACACATATCCTATTCCCTAAACACAATAGAAAGGTACATATTTAACAATTCTACCTTTTTGACAATTGATGAGATTGGAGTCATCAACCCCATGATGTTAAATAACCGACATTTGGTGATAATGCTATTTTGTGGCAGAAAACCATCAAATGTTGGCCATTCTCAACTTTTTTTTTAATGTAATAATTTTCAGTCTGGGAAAACAGCAACTGGAAAATTTTAGGGAGGGCCCAACTGCAATTACAGGAACCATTAAGCAGGTGGGATTAAAATGCCAAGACATTTTCGATTTCACTTGAGGGAACCTGGGATTAAAAGGATACCAACGGGTCACATGGTGTCAAAACCACGTCAGAAAAAATAGTAAGATATAAGGAAAGCACACAGGTAAATGTTTACCTATGTTGGGGAAGCAAAGTCTGTATTCATTTAGATTCCATAGGACTTATGCATTCAAAAAACGGCCTCACCTATTATGTGGGGAAAACCCCGATTCTGTTAGGAGGGTGACCTTCCGTGCACGTATAGATTCCGCCTATCACAATCTACCTAACCCACATTTATCATTGAGCTAGTGTTTTACGTCACATTTCACCATGGCCGTCTTGACTTCTATTTTTAAAAATTCACCCATCTCCCTCCCGGAAGGCATCTCACAGGCCAGCGCAGGTCCCCAGCTGTAACAGGTGGTCTAAACTACGGGCCCCATCCTCTTGGCCCCGGGCCCCATCTTCTCGGCCACGTGATCCCCTTCTTCCTAATCTCGCTCTGAGACCGTATTTCCGGTGCCCCAGATGGCTCTACCCTTGCGTGGAAGAGCCATCCCAGAAAGCGCAGGCATGCCCCGGCGCCACATCAGGGCTCCAAGGAGGTGGCGGCGGAGACCGCGAAGGGGCAGGCTGAGCGGAAACTCGAGCTGGAGGAGCACACGCTCTGCCACCGACTCCTAAATGTCACTCGGTGGAGATGTTCGCATGGCATCACCCACCAGGGGCTGGGCCGGAGGCCAGCTGCTGTGGCCGGGCGCCACGCAGGACCCGGCGCAGAGCCCGCGCCGGCCGCTCGGCGAGGTGGTGGCCCCGGGATCCCCGGGTCCTCGGCCGGCCCCACCCGGGCAGCTCGCGCCGGGAGGGAAGGGAAGTGGGGCCGGGTGGGGAAGCGCGGGCGGGGCCGGGCCTAATCACATGGCGCAGACGGCGCAGGCCGCCCGCATCTTTCTTTCTTTCTTTCTCCGGCCTCCGCTCCAGCGCAGCCCAG